CACTGCTTGCCACACTGACTGCTTAGCAGAGGAAAACCATTTATCTGAAATAACAAGAGGTGTAGAGATCAGCAGCTGTAGCTTTCTTGAGCAGCTTTCTTGCACAGGCTTGCAATGTCTACAAATACTTTAGCCTAATCCATTTTGGTACATAAGAATCATTAATGTAGAAAAGCTGTTTATTTGTAGTCAATCTTTCTACTTCAAAAACTGAATCAAATCAGGCAAAAAAATATAATCATTAGAATGGATACTCCACCTACTGCCAAACAAAGCTGAACGAAAACTCTGTACAAAAAGTTCTACCGTCTTAACTCCTACAGTTTGGTTTTAATAATACATTTAAATTCCTAGAAATGCAAAAGTTCAGAGACAGAACAGAGTCACTTACATTCCACAACTACAGCAGCTGTTAACCGTCATTTATATCATCATTTGGAATCACGTTTGAAACAATTAAATACCTTTTCAAATGATTTGGGCCAGTCCTCGCTGTGTATGTTTCTCAGGTTCCCTCGGTCTTCAATCTTGTAGTGTCTGATTTTCTGGTCTTCCAGCCAGACAATAAAATTTCTGAATTCCGTTTCATCTGTTGGAGAAGTAAACAAAACAAAACTTAACCAATACCTTAAAGGCAAGAACAAGCCCTTAAGTGTTGATCTGGTTCATAACAATACTGATGCCCCAGAGCACTTCCATATTTTACCATTAATATACACATATATATACATCTAACACTGAAATCATGTACTCCAGGATAACCTCTGATCAAAACTCAACAGTAATTGTTTCTTATTTTTCAAGTCCATTCTAATTGGCTATGACTGACTAACTACGCTAAAAGGCATCAGCCAACACATTGTTTTTATTGGGAATGTAGTTATAGCTTAAATGAAGGAAAGGTGAAACTGATAAACTCGGTTCCTAACGCTGTTATATGTACCAGTAACCCCACCCTGAGCTGACGGAGCTTTCTGTGCGACTCCTGACCCTTACATCACATAAACTAAGGCTCCCCACAGAAGCAGACTAAGAACAGCAGCAACATCGTCTACCCTGCATTGCAAGTCTCCTTCCGCTCCACCCGCGAACAAGGCTCGAAGACACCCAAACTGCGCGCACCACGATAATGCCTGGGGTTCCCGGCTTTTCCGGCCTAAACTCGGGATTTTTCCCTGATCACTATGCTGCGGCTGAACTCTGCGCGCAGAGCGGTGCGCTACGGCTCGGAGCCCAGCAGACCCTCCCGGCGTCCACCTCCCTTCCTCGCTCCCCCTCCACGGGGAACATGGAGACACCGCGAAGGTGAGGGCCGGAGGTTTCCCCCGAGTTGAGGCGAGGGGATACCAATAGAAAGGACGAGCCGCCTCAGCAATGCCGGGCCTCGGAGAGTGGCTCTGGGGCAGGGGGAGCCGGGTCCGTGCTGGCTCGGAGAGCCTCGGAGAGCGGCGAGAAGGGAGGGCTGGGGAGGAAGTCACGGCGCCCCGAAGCCCGGCCGCCGCCCCTCACCCCTGCAGTTGAAGCCGGTCGGGTTGTGGTAGTCGAGGGCAGAGAGCTTACGGCGGAACATGGCGGCACCGGCGCCTCCGCTGACAGCCGGGCCCTACCGCGCGCCGCGCTCAGTCCGGGCCCACGGACCGTACAGGAAGGAACACCCCCTGCCCCGCTCTCTGCCTTCCCATTGGCCAGTGCGTGCCGAGCGGCAGCCTCTAGGGCCAATCAGAGCGCAGAGGGTGCTGCCGGGAAAGGGAAGTGGCTCTTCATCCAGCTTTATTGACACGATGGCAGGCGGACAGCGACAGGGGCGGGGCCTCGGCAGGGGCGGGGCGTAGGGCGCGATTGGGCCGGTGTGCAGGCGTGCAGGCGTGCAGGCGGCAATGGAGAGTGTGTGTTTCGGGCTGCGCTGAGAACATTGGGGGATGCTGAGCTGTAACTGGAGAGCAGTGGGGAGCACTGAGCTGTACTGAAGAGCACTGCGCTGTACTGGGGAGCACTGCGCTGTACTGGGGAGCACTGCGCTGTCCCGGGGAGTACTAGGCTGTACTGGGGAGCACTGAGCTGTACTGGGCTGTACCGGGGAGCACTGAGCTGTAGTGAGGAGCACTGGGCTGTACTGGGGAGCACTGAGTTGTACTGGGCTGTACTGGGGAGCACTGAGCTGTACTGGGGAGCACTGAGCTGTACCAGGGAGCACTGAGCTGTACCAGGGAGCACTGAGCTGTACTGAGGAGGAGTGGGGCACTGCACTGGCCAGTGCTGCACGTGGGGCTGGGGGGCACGGGCTCTTGTCCCCAGCTGCAGCGCTGAACCATGCCTTGTGCCCGCAGCAAGAGCTGTGGGGAGTGAGGAGTCACAGGTTGGCCATGTATGGGGGCTTTGCTGCTGTCCCGGGGAGGGTTGTGGTTCCTGGTCACTCTAACATGCCAGGGAGTCCCTCATGAAGTTCGGCAAGAGCAGACCTGACCTTTCAGGAGGGGGAAAAGCCAACCCAGCAGAGAAGGGGCGCTTATTTTCTCTTCTTGGTGTGCTCTCTGGGGTTTAGAAACCCGGCATTCCTCTATAGTCTCCAAACCATGCGTGAATCATCCTTATTTCACACAGATCCTTCCCAGCCTGGAGCTGTCTGGCAGCTCCAACATTCTCCTGGGAAGCAGCAAAAGGGGTTTCTGTGAAGGGATGGGCACGAGGTGAGCCTGAACCCTCCCCACCCTTTGTTTGCCACTTCCATCTTGGAATTAAACCGTTCTCCATGTGAATGCTGCTGCTGCAGGCTTTGCTCCCAGATATATTTCAGTCATCTCTTGGGGGGGTTGTGTGGTTTATGGCCAGGAGAAGTTTCTGCTCTGGTGGCATCATGCAGAAGGGCTGTGCACTAAGAGCCAGCCAGCAGGTGAAGGATCCCTGTTCAAGGGTGGTTTTGTGTGGAGATGGCGATGAGCCTGGGATGGGAATGAGACCACCCCCGTCCCTCATCCCTTCCAGGCTAGGGTGGCACTTCCCAGACGTGGTGCTGACAGCGCGACGAGCCAATGCAATATTCATCCTGACATTTCTCTCCATGCCAGCCCTTCCCAGCGCTCCAGCTGGCAGTCGGCACAGCCACCGGTACAGCACTGCAGTGCCAAGGTGGCACGGGGCTGAGCCAAACCCTCCCCACGGCGGCCCCAGCACCCAGGGGGAACCATGCAGGCTTCTGCCTCCCTTTAGGACCATTCCTCTCCCATTCATTGTATCTCCTCTGGCTTGTTCCTGGAGTGGTTTAACTGGGGGCAGGGGCTCCTCGCAGTCAGCTCTGCCTCCTTCGGCTTTCACAGCCAGAGCCCATGAGCACCTTAGCATGTCACTGACACCCGCACAGAGGGTGACATACAAGCTAGCAGCAAAGGGACCAAGTCTCTACCATAGCTAAAAGGAGCTTGGGACTGTCCCTGGGGTGTGTGGCCATCTGAGGGCACATGCCCTCAGCCACGTGAATGTCACATGTTGTCCACCCCAGCAAGGGTGACCAGCCATTGAGGTCATGAAACCTCTGCATAGGTGTTGGGGGACAAATACACAGGCAGTGCCAGCATGGTCCCATGCCTGCAGCAGGATGAGACTCTCCAGCCTTCCTCCTCCTCTCCTGCCTTCATCACCCTCAGGATAGCTCTTGCCCTTCCTAACCCATCCTGGTTTTCCCCTCCCATGCTGCAAATATAGTGTTCTTGCATCTAATGAATGCAATCAGTACAAATGGGTTTATTCTCATTAACAAGCCCTACAGGGCCTGGTGCTGGCACTGAGGTAGGCAACAGAATGATGTGCAGGGAGCAACATCTCACCTCTGCTTTCCCTGGGTGCTCCACACCTCCTCCGGCTCAGCAGATGCTGCTGGCTTGGCAGTGCTGCTGCTGCTCTGGAGCTGAAGCCTGGGGAGGTGAAGATGAAACAGAACAAGCGTTGGCAATGGAGGAGAGCCAGCGGGGTATGGCAGCAGCTGAACACTGCCTGGCTTGGCACACCAAGCAGCCGAGGTGTTGCAGGAGCGATGGTTTGCTCCTTCGCAGTGACACCAATGTTTTTGCTTTTAAGCTGGCCCAGTGGACACCGCAAGGGATGGGGAGCTGAGAGTCAAGCCTGCCAGAGCAGGAAAGTCAGGTCATGCTTCTTCCATCTCCCCAGGAGTGGGCAACATTGGCCGCTTGCTGAAATGCAATTAACATGCGTAGAAAACTTGAAATACCTACACAGCATCCGCACTGAGCTCAATGGTGATGGGTTTAACCGCAAAACCCACACTGCCACCTTCCTCCTGGCTCAGAGATGTCCTGAGGCTAAGCAGCTTCAAGCTGCGGCTGGCTGCCTAGCTGGGAAATCATTTGCCCAGGAGAACTCTTCAAAACCAGAGTGAAAACTCAGGACTATAAATTTGGTAGGAGCAGAGCACCTTCCTGGAGGCACTGGGGAAAGGAGGTGGGTGCAAGGGGGAACAGGGGGATGTTTTGCTGCAGCCTGGGTGCAACCCCTTTCCCAGCCTCACACCGCAGCCAGGACAGGACTCAGACCCTCATAGTGTCCCCAGAACAGCCCCAAATGAGGCCATTCCTGCTCTGGGCTGGACCAAGTGGGCCAGATGTGGGTGTGCTGGAGGCGGCACTGTGTAGAGCCTGTACTCACTGCCAGGGATGGGAGAAGGAAAGCAGAGGGAGAAGGTATGGACACTGAAGCTAGAGCTTTAGGTGTCTCTCAGTTTCTGAATGACTGTGATTTCGAGCAATGTCGTATTCTGAACGAGCCCCATCCTCCCTGCGCTGGCTTATCCTGCAGGAATGTGGCTTATCAGTGGCTGAAACCCCGAGAGGCTTCCCTTTCCCTCATCAATGGGTACAAAGCTCTTGCCAAACCCCACACCCTGGGGGGGGGACACCCTCTAAACCCACCAGGAAGAGGATTGAGCCGCAACCAGGATGGAAACCCAGCTCCCCAGGGGCCGGCGCGCACAGAGCATCATCTCCAAAGGCTTGAAACAAATCCAAAATTTTATTTCCAACGAGTACAGAGACCACATGGGATGGGGATGCGCTACATCACAGCGCCAACCTCCCCGCGCTGGCTTTCGGTTACCACCACCCCCTCCCCAAAAGCCTGGCAGCGGCAGGTTGGCACTGGAGGGACGGACTTGGCCCCGCCACCAGCAACCTTGGCAGAAAATAAAAGTCCTTTTCCAGTACTCCAGATAGTTTTTGTTTGAAAGCCTGGGGGTAGAGTTGGATGTCATTTGAAACCATGCTGGAAATACGGCATCGGGATGGAGAGATGGCTGGTATTTCTGTTGCGAGGGGGGAAACGCTCTTGGCAGGCGATCTCTACTTGGCTAACAAAGGCGTATCTGTGCAAATATAAATACTGGGGTGAAATACCTGGCAGCACACCAATGTCAACACCACTACCAACGTGAAATAAAGACCAGCAACGGAAAACACCTTCAATGAGCAGTTTAGGTTAATTTAACACTCCCCCCACACACACCCTTCATGCATCTTTATTTCTTCATTTATATATTAAGAATTCAAGTTGTAAAATACAGAAGTCATTAAAAAAATTATTACAAACCACTTTGTGACAGCATTGGAGAAGGGTTGGGGTGTGAGCCCCGGGTCAGACCGGCTGCGCTTCACTCTCTGTGACAGTAAATCAGCGTTAAAAACAAAAGACAAACCAGGGACGGGGTATTTACACATCTGCCTTGCAATATTAAGAGTGAAACCAGCTGCAGAACAAATGACTTCATCCATCCTTCATCCTAAAGCTATGTAAGCTGTAGTAAAAAGATCGAGGTTAGGGGGGTCTGAAAGCCACGGTGGGAGGACTGGGACAATCTAGGCTACTCATGTCCTATAAATGTTCCCAGATGCCAAAAGTTTGGAGTCTAGTGTAAGAAAAACTGGTCTTCTCTGTGGAAGACTAGAAAAAGAGTATGAAAAGGTAGAAAAAACAAAAATGCACTTATTACGGGCTAGAAAGTTTCACCGAAAGGTACATAAAGACTATTGCCCTCTTGGATCCACAGGGATTTTTAAGCTGATACCTGATTCAGAACTACAGTTTAGCCAGGTTACTGTAGCCCCCCAACCCCCCTATGTGACACCCACCTAATTTTGTATGCAAATCCCCAAGTCGTGATTCCCAAAGTTCTCCAGGAGTGTAGATGAGTGGGGAGAGCCAGGAGCTATCAGCGGAGAGACAAGCCACGTCTGCAAAAGTATTAAACCCAGAGCAGGTCCAAAGAAGGTGGCTTGTGTCCCCAGAACGTTGGCAGCAGATGAACTCGACCTGGGAGTAATTCCCCAGCCTGACACAGAGCTCAGGCTGCGTGTAAACAAGGTATCAGGCACCTCCATGAAGGGGTGGCCCCGTGCTCCCCATGCTGCTCCCCCATCTCTACCCATCGTAGTGGGGCAGCAGCGGTGGGTGTGGGAAGGGGCGGAAATAGCCCGCTGTGGGGCAGCATCCCTCCGTGGGGCAGCATCCCTCCATGGGGCAGCATCCTGATCCAGCCCCAAGGAGAGGAGATGCTGCTGAGAAGCCAAAAGAGCAGGACACGGACCAAGCAAGGAGGGCAGAGGCACAGAGGTGTAGGAAAAGAGGAAAGACCCGGAAAGAAGTGGTCAACTTTGATTTTCAGGTTTCTAGCTACCCCTCAACGCCCAGGGGTACCCTAATGCAGGAGGTATTTCAGGCACGTCTAAGGCATTGCAGGAGTTGCCTTTGCTTTCAGAATCGCCTCGGTTTCCTCCCTACAGCTTTATCCACCAGCATGTGGTGTCAAATGATAGAAAAGAAAAATCTGGAGCGGATGAACAGAGATAAACTCTCATGCACTACCACTGAACGTCGTCACAGGAGTATGAAGCACCAACCACGACACATGATTCACTTTTACTTGCAGAGCTGAAGCTAATCATACACAAAATGTTAGCAAGTGGGGTTGTCTGGGAACACGGAGCTGCCAGCACACGGGGGGCAGGCAGGAGCTGCCGCGTCCTCGCTAACCCACCGCGGGGCCCTGTGCTACGCAACTGCCGGGAACTAAAACACACAAGACCAAACATTGAGTAACACCATAGTTCATCTAACCTGTCGCTATATATCTGACAACTTAAATAAAAAAGAATAGTTTGGAAAGAAACCAACAATATCATTCCAAGAAGTCTATACACATCCTTAGCAGTTACTTTGCTCAGCACAGCTCTGGTGCTTTTAAATATGGAACAATCAAACAATTTTGTGAGCAGAAAAGTGACACAGATTTATTCTTTACATATTTTGTTGTGGGTTTTTTTCTTTCTAGGCAACTCTACAGACTTCAGATCTTTTGCCTTGCAATGCAGATCATCCTATTCCCCCAAAGGTAGCCAGGTTCTTTAAACATGCACATCTCTGTAGCTTCCAGGCCGTGTATTTTACTTATTTTTTGTTTAAATTCTGCAGACTAGCAGGTTGTCCCCATTCCTAAAAACTCTACATCAGTGTTCAGGGTGGCCTGAGTGCTGGTCAGGCTCCTCGAGGGTTTACAGGATAACACAGAAGAACTTCTTCTCTCTAAAGGGGTTTTCTGAGGCCGGGACAGGGGTCAATAGAGGGTCCTCCTTGGCGTGGGCTTCACAGTACGCCATCAGGTCTGCTGCTGCTTTTGACACCTGGAATAGAAGGAGCCCTGCATTAGGGATGAGCTGTGCTGGGGACATCCCACCTGAGAGATGGCAGGTCCCATGGGGCTGGACTCACAGCATCCCTGGGCAGGTAACACCGTCGCTAGCCAAAGACCTGCCCAGTGAGCCAAAAGCATGTCCCTGGTGGGGCTGGTTTTTCACATCTGGGCTCTAAGCTCTACTGTCAACATGCACTCCCAAGAGCATCCTTCACATCCTTCATCCATTCTCATCCTTCACCTCACCTGAGTGTTGCAAGTACCAACCTCAGCAGGTACCACATCCCTGCCAGCTCTGCCCCCCATCCCTGGGCAGGGACGTCCACAGCTGCTCCTGAGCTGCCCTACCTCGCTCCAGACCTGAGAGGTGAGGTTTTGATTTGCAAGCACAAAGAGGTGCTCACAGCCAGCAGCCAGCCACAGAGCATCACTCTGCTCAGGACTGACTGCCATCCAAAGCCACCCCAGAGGAGAACATAAACCCTCTGGGACCTCAAGCTTGAAGCCAATGAGATTTTGCATGCCCAGAAGCAGCAGTTCGACTGGGGTGGAACAGAAGTGGTCAAAGCAGAGGAAACACCTCCTGGAAAGGATTTCCATAGGAAACAGGCTTTCAGAGTTGCCCTGCTAACCACAAGGCTGAACACCCAGCACTGCCCAAAGCACACTTTCAACCAGCAAGTGCTGGGTTTAACCTATTCCCAAGAAGGTGAGATGCCTCAGGGACAGTCGCTTGTCCCTCCCCCTGGCAAAGCTCCAGGCGATGCTTCCAGTGGCTTTCCACAGGCAAGCATCTGCTGCTGCCTTCAGCCACGGCCATAGGGATCACTCAAGACAAACATCCTCCATGAACACCGCCGTCCACCGCATCCCAGCTCCCATAACGTGCTTTTGGCAGCTGCCCAGCAGCAGACACCACCTCGCAGTGTAACTCTGAGCTGACAGCCAACTCCTGAGCTGGTGTAAGTGAAAGAAAAGCCTGGAGAGGATGAACAAACTCTCATACCTTTATCCTGTCAATGTTGGCCTCCATCTTAAGCTGCTCCACCAGCTTGCGGGCTTGTGCTATGCTAGCAGTGTTGTTGCTAGCCATGGGCAGGCCAGGCGTGCTCTCCAGACAGGCTGTGGGTGCAAGCACACGAGTGAACTGCTGGGCTGGGCAGAGCTGCTCCCAGCCCTGAAAAATACCCCAAATCGTAGAATCGTGGAATGGTTTGGGTTGGAAGGGACCTTAAAGGTCATCCAGCTCCAATCCCCCCGCCATGGACAGAGATACCTTTCACAAGACCAGGTTGCTCCAAGCCCCATCCAACCTGGCCTTGAACACTGCCAGGGATGGGGCAGCCACAGCTTCTCTGGGCAACCTGTGCCAGTGCCTCAGCACCCTCACAGGGAAGAACTTCTGCCTAATATCTGATCTAAATCTGCTCTCTATCAGTTTAAAGCCATTCCCCCTTGTCCTGTCCCTATGTGCTGTTGTCAGAAGTCCCTCTCCAGCTTTCTTTCCAGTGCCTTTATGCAATGAAAGACTGCCCTAAGGTCTCCTCAGAGATTCTCTTCCCCAGGCTGAACACTTCCAGCTCTCTCAGGCTGTGCTTGAGCCCTCTGTGTGTAGCTGTTAGAGCTGAGCCGGGTGAATGCGGGTGTGAAGATGAGAGATGCAGACCCAGGCATTTCAGCCAGGGTTGAATCCTGTGTTTATACAAGGACAGTGAGCCACCAGCCTTTGTGGGTAGGCAGGTAGTCACACACTGCCAGTGGTACCCTCCTGTGCCCTCTCCATTGTTCCCAGAGCAGGGAATGCCCTATGAGCCACGCTTAGGTGACACTGGGACCTTCTTGAGCACAGCAGGACCCCAGCTGGGCTGTATTCTGTCTTTGGCTGTTATATGAAAGGCTGTGGTGGCAACAAAGCAAAAGAAAATCAGAGAAGGGGCACCCCCTGCACAGCCCTGGGCAGCCTGGAACTGCAGTACCAGGCTCATTACCCTGCCCCAAACCAGGCACATCATCCAGCCCCACACCAATGCCCATGCCCAGCCTTCGCCCTGTGTCCCTTGCCCTCCCTTGCTTTGTCCCTGCTGCCAACTTGAACACTGAGATGCTAAACAGGATGCTGGAGTTTCCTGTTTCTCAAGATTTCCACCCCAGGCAGACTCATTAAGTCCACGCCATCTTGATCACGGATGTTTTTCCGCTGCTTTATAACAGCCTCGAGCTCCGGTGGCCAGAAACCCAGCATTCAGCTCCTCTGGCAGCCAGTGCTTTTGCAAGCAGCAAGTATTATACAGTGTGGGCACAGCCACGCTGTGCTGCCCCTGCCTGCCTGGGGCTGCCTGCGAGCTCCAAAACGGGCTCTGGGGAGAGTCCTGCAATAGCAGGGTGCAGCGAGCCTCCCACCAGTCCCAGGCAATAGGACAAGGATGGCATAGCCCTAAAATGAGGAGCTTTTTAGGGAGGAGACTGAAAAACTGTGAGCACATTCAGCTTAAGCCCATCTTGGAGGATGTAGAGGACAGAGGCTCATCCTGGGATGTACAGAAAGAAACAACCTGGCACTGAGCAAGGTGCCCATCCTTTTAAAGTGACTGGAGAGCAAAGTCATGCCACGGGAGCTGGAGTTTTAGATGAGACTCCTCCCCAGCCACCCCTGCCCCATGGGCAGCGCGAGGAGGAGTTATTCTTTACCAGAAGCAGGTCTCTCCGGTGCTGTGTGCCTCTAGGGGAAGATCTGCTCCTCTTGGCCGTTCACCACCTTTGATTAAGAAGAACATAAAAAAGAAAAAAGGAGCCAGGTTAGGTTGCTGAGATGCCAGTCAATGCAATGAGCCCATTATTTATGGCATCAGGAAAACCAGAGCCCTTGCAGATGCTAAGTCCCATACCCTGCCAGGAAGGCAGAAAGGCTGTGGGTTTCCTTCCGTATCCCCCCACCTCCTTGTGCCTTCCAAGCACATTCCCCAGGGACATTATTCACATTCAGTGAGATTTTCAGCACAGGAAGAGGTTTCAAGCCAGTGGGCAACTCTCCGAGGGCTGTTGGCAGCCAGGCTTTTAGCTGCTCTCCAGCAGCCCCACAGCACATCCGAGCATGCTGTAGGATGCACAGCGAGAGGGGATGCAATTTAACCGTCTGGTGCAGAGAGCACATGGCAGGGCACAAAGAGCATCTCCTGGGGAAGGCTGCCAAAATCCTCCCCTGCTTTGCCACAGCCCAGCTCCCACCATGCCTCCGTAACAGCCCAAGCTCCTGCCCAGGTCTGCTCTCATTGCTCTCTGTGCCATTGCTTGAGGTTTAGCTCCAGCTCGTGCACTGTTTCCATGCTGGCTTTTCTCAGCTCTCCCCCATTCTTTTTGCTGGAGAGGTGTTGGAGCAGCAGGGTGCCTCTCTCCTGCTTTTGCTTTCAGTTCTCCCTGTGAAGCCACAAAGTGGATGGTGGTGGCAGTGCCACCTCATCTGTGGTGCAGCAGCTGGTCCTGGGCTGGTGGGAAAGCCAGTGACCATAGAGATGTTCATCAACCAACATGCCATTGCATGGTTTGAATGCTGCAGAGACCTTTCTAATGCAGCAAATGTTATTCAGTGATGTTGTGCCATTTCATACTGAGGACCATGGTCTGTTGGTGCTCTGGTGCCGGGAAGTCACTTAGGGACTGAAGATTAATGTCATGGAAATAGGCACAGGAACAGGGATGACTGCTGAGAGCTTCTGTACAGCTGCTGCAGTCCTGATCTTTTGAAAAACATATGTATCCAACCCTGGTACCAGCCTTCTGCAAGGAAATCCTCCCATGCTCTTCCTACGTCTAGCCTAGAGGCAGTAAGGTGGAAAAGACAGGCACAAAAATAAGGTCAGAGAAGACTCAGACCCTGCTGGGGCAGGGGAGGGGACATCTGTGCAAGCACCCCGATGTGCATAGGGCTGCTGGGATGATGCTGGGGACCTGGCCAATGCTCAGCCAGCTCACAGGACACCAGCAGCTGGCCACACTTGGCCCCTCTGCAGATACCTCCTGTATGAACTTGAACCAGTCTGAGGCCAGTGATGGATTTGCAGTGTTTCCATGCTGCGAGCAACTGGACATGCTTCCTTCAACATGAATACAGAAAAATAGCAGGTGGCACTTTGAAGTGAGCCACCAGGAGTAAACCCAAAGCCTTATCATTTGGCTTTGACTTAAGCCAAGCCAAGCCAAGCTAGAGCATCCTCCTCTCCTTCTACCCCTAATGCCTCTTTACTACTAATTGTAGTCATCCAAACTACGCCCTGGCAGGTGCATCTGCAGCACGAGGGTGACTAAGATGCTTGCAGGCAGCTGCCTGCTGCCCTCATCCAGGAGCAACACTGCCTACACCAAAGCAATACGTGTATTTATTTCTCTTCCCCAGGATCCAAGGAGGTGCTTGGACTGCTGCTAGACTCCATGCTGAATGAGAAAATAAGTATTTAAGTAGATAGTGGGTAGATGTCGAGAGCGTCAGACATCAGACAAATTAAAATCACCCTGGAAAATATATAAATCCTCAGACTGGAGGGAAAATGCTGAAGTATTTGAGTGGCTGTCAGAAGGAAATTGTTATTTCTGTGTTGGAACAAGTCCAGAGGAGGGCCATGAGGATGATCAGGGGGCTTGAACACCTCCCATACAAAGACAAGCTAAGAAAGTTGCGGCTGTTCAGCCTGAAGAAGAGAAGGCTGCATGGAGACCTCATAGCAGCCTTCCAGTATCTGAAGGGGGCCTATAGGGATGCTGGGGATGGACTCTTCATTAGGGACTGTAGTGATAGGACAAGGGGTAATGGGTTAAAACTTAAACAGTTTGGAAGTTTGGATTGGATATAAGGAAGAAATTCTTTACCATAAGGGTGGTGAGGCACTGGAATGGGTTGCCCAGAGAAGTGGTAAATGCCCCATCCCTGGCAGTGTTCAAGGCCAGGTTGGACAGACCGTTGGGTGACATGGTTTAGTGGGAGGTATCTGTGCCCATGGCAGGGGGTTGGAGCTGATGATCTTAAGGTCCTTTCCAACCCAAACCATTCTGTGATTCTATGATTCTTTCCAGGCAGCTTGTTTCCTAGCAGCGTCATTCCTCCATGGGCAGGTACTGGGAGCAGAGCTTTCAGAGCTGGAGCTGGGGATCTGATGGATGCAGTGAGCCTGCCTGACCCCGTCTGGAGAATCCAGGTATTCCCAGCACAGTGGGTGACAGCAGCCCTTGGACACAGCAGGTTTGTACAGGTTTAATGGCACTCACGGGGGAATATGCACGGCACCTTATTTCATCCATTTAATGGCACGTGTGCCTGGATAATATGATTCCTGACCACAGGTTAATGAGTAAGGATGCTATTCTATTTTCATGCTAATGATATTTAGCATGTACAGTGCATGGATATTGTCTCTTTTGGGCTCTGCACTGTAATCACAATTCAGGATCTCGCCAAGCTGTTTTGATACTTGCCTGTTGTGCAGAGGCATCATGGGTTATTTACTGTATGTGGCAAGAGATTTCATGCTTCGAAAAGGATGTGAAAGTACTTGCAATGAACGTCTGGACTCAGAAATTTTGCTGCTGATTTTTGCCAGCTGGTACTTATGCTCTAAAAGCACCTAATTTGTTGTTGACTGTTTAATTAAGAGCCATTGACACATCTGAATGGCATTTTCTTCTTTCATCAGTGGCACCCAGCCAAATCAGAGATCAAAAACTGGGATTTAGCTGGGCAAAGGGTGAGGGATGCTCCTGATGTTGGGGCACATGATCCAGCTTTTATGGCTGTGTCTGCTTTTGGTCTGCTCAGTCTTCAGTGTTTACCCAGGATATAGAGCAACAAAACCCCAAAACCCAGCCCATGAGCTGCCCACCGTCACTGCTTCAGCATGCACACAACGAGCTGCTGCACAACAGGATGAGATTGGGGTTTAATTTGCTCCACATTAAAAGCCACCATTGCTTCAGGCCAAGGGACAACCAGCTCTCCTCCATTCATAACCACATCTACCTTTCTTTCTGAATGCATTTCTCTCTCCCAGCACATTTATGCACCCCTCTTATACACTCTCCTGATCCAAGGGAGAACGTTGGTGCTGCTCCCATGCCCCTGTCCCTGAGCAAATCATCACAGAGGCACTGACCCCATCCCTTCTGCCAGCACACAGCCCAGCCACTAGAGATTCGTTTAACTCAGTGGTAAATTAATTTGCCAAGTTGCCTGCTGCTCCCCATCCAGGTCCACCCTGGTGAGCCGCCAGCGCTGCCTCCTGGCACTGCCTGGCACAAGCTGCCTTGCCATGGTACCACCTCAACCAAAGAGCAAGGCAAAAAGCCAAGTACAACCCAAAAAAGCCACTGCAAAAAGGAGCATTTCCTGATGCCAGAGCAATAGAGCCCTCCTGCTAAGCTGCCTCTTTCCCAAACTGGGCTCCTGTGGGGCCCTGGCATCCCCCAGCTGCCAGCCCTGCTTGCAAGAGTAAATCAGCCTTCGCTTGTCAGCTTCTTGTCGGCACAAGCTGCTGCTTCCTTTGCACAGAGCTCTGCGCGCCTTGCACCAGCTCCATCGCCAGCCCCAAACCCACAGATCTGAGCCCAACCTCCCCTCGAGCTTTTCGCCCCCTTTTGCTTGGGTTTTGTCTGAAGTTGCATGTGGATGGAGACCAGAATTCTCCTACATGTTTACAATAATGCATTTTGAGAGTGATTATTGAAGGTAATTGGACTAAAGATGCAGCTGTCACTACACAAGAGGTACCCTGAAGCACATTTTGCACTGGGTTGAGTCTGTCACTGTTCAAAGGCAGCGCTGACCCTATCTGGGATGCCAGCATCCTTGCAAAGCATTTTCTTACGTTCTTGAGGGTGCAAACAGGCACTGAGTAGGCTTTTACAGATGTCATGAGACACCTCCTGCATCTTTAGGGGTCCGCAGCCTTTGCACACCCAACTGTGGTCCTCTGCTTTTTTTAAACCTGCGGATCACATCCATCTGTTGCCAATTTTCCAGACTTTTTTCACCTCCCAGTGGGTTTTTCTCCACCTTGCAGAAAACCGTTCTCCCCACATGGGCCAGCTGAACCAAAAGAAAAAAGTGGTGGCCTGCAGGAATGAAATCAAAAGCACTGACATCTGCAAGGGCAAAAAACTCACCGCTCCTCTACCATCGAGACTGAAAGAGCACCACACGGCATCACCCACCTCTGGGAACAGCTCCTTTTCAGAGTGAAAGCAGGAGCCTCCCTGCTGCTTGGTTTCAGTTCTAAAGTCACGCTTTCCATCACTCGTGTACTGGTATTTTCCACAGTTAGTGGTAAAGCAGGTGAACCCCATTGGGCAGCCAGGATTTTGGGGAGCACAGGGATCAGACTGGATCTTACCAGGCCGTCATCACCTAGGGGTTCTTTTCTTGTTCCAGAAAAGGTGCCAGGCTGAGTATTGTAACAGAGGGATTCATCCCAGCTCCCATTTATGCTGGGATTGCTCCGGGCCCCTGCACATCCCAGCAGCTGAGGTCAGCCCAGCTCATTGCATCCCAGGGGCACAGTCAGGCACAGGTCCCAGCTAAGGCAAGCAGGCTCTCCTGAAAACTGCCTTTTCCTCCCCAAAACCCAGGTGTGATGCAGCACCCAGAACAGATAACAGAGCGTATGGCTGTGCTGTCACCCCCCTGCAGCCGGCACTGCTGGTCAGCAGCCGGCTGGATCATGGGAATGCCTCACACGGGGCTGGCTGGCTTTTCAAGCCATCCTGTTGTTTTTG